CATGGGCCCCCGGCGGAGGAGCTCCAGACGCACCCTGGGCGTGATCCTGCACCTGGTGTGCTCCTGTTTCGGAATCAGCTCCATCGACCTGGACCGGCCCGGGGACGGCCGGTGCCAGCCCATCGAGATCCCCATGTGCAAAGACATTGGCTATAACACCACCCGGATGCCCAACCTGATGGGCCACGAGGACCAGCAGGACGCGGCCATCCAGCTGCACGAGTTTGCCCCCCTGGTGGAGTACGGCTGCCACGGCCACCTGAAATTCTTCCTCTGCTCCCTCTACGCCCCCATGTGCACCGAACAGGTGTCTACCCCCATCCCGGCCTGCCGGGTGATGTGTGAGCAGGCTCGGCTGAAGTGCTCCCCCATCATGGAGCAGTTTAATTTCAGATGGCCCGACTCCCTGGACTGCAGCAAGCTCCCTAAGAAGAACGACCCCAATTATCTGTGCATGGAAGCCCCCAACAATGGCTCCGAGGAGCCGCCACGGGGCTCCAGCATGCTACCTCCCATGTTCCGGCCCCAGAGACCCCACAGCTCAGGTCACGACCTGACCCAGCAGAAGGATGGGGCTAGCCGGCTGTCCTGCGAGAACCCGGGGAAGTTCCACCATGTAGAGAAGAGCAGTTCCTGTGCTCCCCTCTGCACCCCTGGGGTCGACGTCTACTGGAGCCACCAGGACAAGCAGTTCGCTCTCATCTGGACGGCTGTCTGGTCCATCCTCTGCTTCTTCTCCAGTGCCTTCACCGTCCTCACCTTCCTGATTGACCCCCAACGCTTCAAATACCCCGAGAGGCCCATCATCTTCTTGTCCATGTGCTACTGTGTCTACTCGCTGGGGTACATCATCCGGCTCTTCTCCGGGGCAGAGAACATCGCCTGCAATCGGGACGGTGGCCAACTCTACGTCATCCAAGAAGGCTTAGAGAGCACCGGATGTACCTTGGTTTTCCTTATCCTCTATTATTTTGGCATGGCCAGCTCCTTGTGGTGGGTGATCCTGACCCTGACGTGGTTCCTGGCCGCAGGGAAGAAATGGGGCCACGAGGCCATCGAAGCCAACAGCAGCTACTTCCACATGGCTGCCTGGGCTATCCCGGCCATCAAGACTATCATGATCCTGGTGATGCGCCGGGTGGCAGGGGACGAGCTGACAGGCTTATGCTATGTGGGCAGCATGGACGTCAATGCGCTGACCGGCTTCGTGCTGATCCCCTTGGCTTGCTATCTCATTATCGGGACCTCGTTCATCCTTTCGGGTTTCGTAGCCCTCTTCCACATCAGGAGGGTCATGAAAACCGGGGGGGAGAACACGGACAAGCTGGAGAAGCTCATGGTGAGGATCGGCGTGTTCTCCGTCTTGTATACTGTGCCCGCTACGTGCGTCATCGCTTGCTACTTTTACGAAAGGTTGAACATGGGCTACTGGAAGGTTTTGGCCACGCAGCAGAAGTGCAAGGTGAACAATCACACTAAGGTTCTGGACTGCGCCATGAGCGACTCTGTTCCGGCCGTGGAGATTTTTATGGTCAAAGTCTTTATGTTGCTGGTGGTGGGGATCACCAGTGGCGTCTGGATTTGGACCTCGAAGACTCTGCAGTCGTGGCAAAGTGTTTGTAGCCGGAGGATCAAGAACAGGACTCGGAGGAAACCAGCCAGCATGGTGGCAAGTGGGGGGCTTTATAAAAAACCCCAGCCTTTGCCCAAAGTTCACCATGCAAAGTACGAGTCGGCTTTACAACCCCCAACGGTGTGTGACCACAATGGTTCATGAGGATCATAATAATACTAATTACAATACTTGGAAAGAAACTGAAGGGGATTCCCAAGCACTCACCACAGCATTCAGAACTGAAGAATGATTTTTTTTTAATGCTTTTAAAACTTCTTTTGTCATACAAAACCACAAATTGAGAAGGGAGAGTTGAAATCTTAGAATTCAAGGTCAGGAGATGGAGAAAAAACATAGTGCCTCAAATGTTAACAAACATAAGTGTGTGTGCTTATACACACACACACACACCTTTCTTTCTTTGGCTACTAAGTCGCTGGGTGTTATGACTTGTAAATATTGAAATGGGGATTGCTTTAGGTTTCTAACCAGTTAGACATAAGTATTTGTAGAGCTTTTTTTTTTTTTCAAGAAAAGAGAAAACTTGAAAGAGAATGTTAGGGAAGCAGCCAGATCACAGAGAAACAGAAGTTTCAATTCACCCTGAACATCTCTTTTTCAAAAGAGATCCAGTTCTAAACTTTAAACGAGCAATACCGTCTCTTAAAATGGTCTCCTCTGCTAAAAATAATGTGCAATACAGTTTTTCTTCCCTTTTTCCCCCTACTCCCTCCCCCACAGCCCCAGACCTACGCTCTTTGCCTCTCTTTGCCTTGAAACACGAAACAAGTATTTTGCCAGACATAAAAGCAACAGAAGGGAATCTTTAACAAAAGAACAGAGGGGTTCTAGTCCCTAGGAACCGTTCAGAGTTACACTTTGTGGCTTTTTAATGGAAATCGGACACGTTTGGAGGAGGGGGGAGGGAGGGAGGGGGAGCCGTTGAAAAGGATCGAAAGCTTATTGACTCTTTCCATTGTTAAATAGATTCTGTCCCTGAATAGATCAAGAAACACTCCACGCTCCCTTCGCTCCCATCCCGAAAGGGAAACTGATGCACAAAATTGCACGCGAGTAGGTGTGCATTGTATATTAAATCTAGCTTCCTCTGTTTGTAATATACAGCTATTTTCATGCCCTATTTTATTAAAACATAATGATTAAGAAATAAAAAAAAAGGGTTTTAGTTTGATAAAGTAAGAGCATCCTTAGCCTTCTCTCTTTTTTGGGAGGGGGGTTGAAAATGGGGTGGGAGTTCCTGATGACCGCATGAATGCCAGGAAGAAATGGAGGGGAAGGGTTTTGGGTGCACGTGTGAAAGGAGAGAGGGTGGGACGGAGGCAGACGCATGTCTGAATACTGCATTTGGCAACTAAAAGGGCGAAACAGTCTGGTGCAGTGGTTAAAGCAGGGACTTTCAAACCCAGTTCGGGAAGTTGAGGTGGGGCAAGGAGGTTCAAAGAGAAAATACCTCTCCCCCCCCACCCTAAACCACGATCAAAACTGCTAATTGTTCCCATAGGTAAATACTAAAGAATTCGTCTTCAGGACTCGAATAGGTTTTGCTGTCCTGATTGATTGGTTTTGATTGATTATGGGCCATCCCGTTGCTGCTTCGCCACCACACAGATAGCAGTCTTTATGCCACACTCTGAACCCAGTTTGGGGAAGGTCTAGCAAATACATCCACACCATTTGCTCAGCCTGACTAGGTTTAAGCCTGGATTCGTGTCCTGGGCCTGTGGTTTTGTGTGTTGGGTGAATCCAGTTTGTTCCCTCGAGGGGTGGCTGTGAATCTGGATTGTATTGCACCCCTGTGTGCAGACAACTAAGAGGTACAATTTGCACCACGGAGCAGAATTACACGCCCTGCTGCCTAGTCTGGAGAAATGAGATAAAACAAAACCATGGCTGTCAAACTGTAGGGCAGAAAGGTCAACGTGGATAGTCTGAAACATGGTTTGTCCTCAGGAGGGCCCTTTAGCAATTTTAAGAATTTGGTCCAGAAAAAGGAGGCTGAAATACCGTTCCTCAAATTTCTGCTTGTGGGCTTCCCCCCTGTGGGGAGGAGGAAAATGAAATTCATTTTCTAGGTGGAACTTCCAGCTGCAGAAGCAATCTACCTTGCAGGTGGGAAGTTTATTGTCCAGAGGGGCTTTTCAAGAGGCATCTGACTGTACTGATGAACCTCTGAGGAAGCAAGAGAGATTACTTTTGTTAGAGCAGGGAGTTTTGAAGTTGGGCGATTTAAAGGCGAAGCTAAGCAGGGCTGGGCATGGATGGGAGTCTACTATGAAATCCCAAGGTAATCTAGGAAATAATAATAACAATAATAATAATCCAGAAGGCAGTAGCAAGAAGAAATGAAGAAAACTGCCCGGGAAACAGAATGAGAAATTAAGATCTGATTCAAAAGAGACTTGACTAGGATTTGGCATATGGTAGGAAGCCAGATGGCCCAGTCTACGAGAGATGCAAAAAACGGTTGAGGAAGGGAGGGTTGGTTTGAAGGGAGACTTGAATGGAGATGGACAGAGAAAGGGGTGGATTCCCCCCCCAAAAAAGATGGGGGGAAGAGCAATGTTCCAAACCAGCTGTTTTTAAGGCGCTGAAGTTTTCGGTTTGCTTTTTCTTTTTCGGCAGACTGGCAATCTTCTCCCCCCCCCCCCACAAAGCACGATAGGTGATCAATGAGGCCCTTCTCCCACAAGCGGCTGAAGGCGAGTGGTGGGTCTGCAGCGTTGGGCAACCCCCCCCCTCCCCAGGGAAACCCGCACCTGTTTCTGCCTTCGCGGAGCGTTTGCATCTTGGAGAACGAACGCTTTCCATTATTCCTTCTGAAAGGGCTTTTGGGGGGGGGGGGAATTCAAATCGTTTGTGTCTTTCATTCGGCTGGGGGGTGAGAAAACGGAATCGTTCATAGAGGATGCTTTGGTTAACCTCAAGGGCCAGAAACAATTACGTATGGGGCTGGGGAGGGGGTCCTTTCGTGACTCCAGCAGCATGCTAAGAAAATTTGCCTGTTGCCAGTATGGTCTTTTGAGTTGGGCTGTGTTTTCCTCCCCTGTTGCTTCTCATGCTTCGAACCCCAAAGCTGAAAAGGACAGGTGGTAGCA